TGGAGCTTCCAGATAACTTTTCAACCCCATATAGAGTACATGGAAATACTCCAAATTGTAGGTGACTCAGGTAGCTGACTGTGAAGAGAGCACATTGGTTCAGAAATGGGTGTAACTAGAATATACCTTGCAATTGTGCAAAGACACTCATGACTATATTGACAGGAGTCACAAGTCCAGACAATTCTCCATATTACGCACCAGATTTGTCTGGTGGTAATTACTACAACCACACCAACTATGCTAATTCTCCAAGAAACCCTGAACTCAATGCCACTCCATCTTGCCAAGGTTCAATTTTAGCCTGTTCATCCCCATCTAGGCCTCAACACCCTCCATGCACCACAAAAAGGCAGTCATGGCATGGCTTAACTCACCACAAGCAGAGATGTACAACTATAATCAGCATACTGATGATATCTTATCATCTTACCCAGTGGTTTCATGTAGAAATTAAACAGAAGCAGAGAAAGCACTAACATCTGCAGAACCCTGTATAGCAGGAGCAGAGGATCCAACCTCTCACTCCCAATTAACGAATGAAAACGGCCTCAAAGGAAGTGAACCAGGCAATAAATGCACCACACTTCCACCCCCCACAAGCCATTCTAGAAGGATACCATGGTTTATAGTATTAAAGCTGTTGAGAGATCAAGCAGAGCAGGGATAGGTGCACTAACTCATCCTACTCCCTTCAAAGATCACTGAAAAGCACAACCAGTGTTATTTCTTTCACATATCTAGGCTTGAATAACAACTGAAAAGGGTGCAAATAATCAGTTTCCTCCAGGATTCTCTGGGGCTGCAACATGATCACCTACTCAACAACGAGAGAGAGAGAGAGAGAGAGAGAGAGAGAGAGAGAGACAGACAGACAGACAGACAGACAGACAGACATAGAAAAATCCTTACAGTTGTACAGAAAAAGGAAGATGTTAGAACATAAAAAGTCCTTTGAAATATAAAATATTGATGGTAGTTGAGCCTAAAAAGCAGTGAATTCCAGCTTTTATATAGTTTATATACATTTTTGCAGTGAGGCAAAAGTTGAAGTTTAGCTATATGATACTATATATATACATATATATATTATCTATATAAATAAAAATGTAAATGTTCTTAAATCTCCGAAAGTTCTTCACCGATTGCTTTGAAATTTTGACACAACGTTGCATTCGAATACGCGCATGTTTTTATATACCTACTACTATATAGATGTCACACCTGTGACAGGTAAAAACATGCTTTTTTTGAAAAACAGCGCCATCTGTTGGACGTAAATTTAACCAGACTGAGCCACAGCAACGCGTGGCCGGGTACAGCTAGTCTATTAATAAAATCAAACATGTAATTTAGATTACAGTTTTTAGAGAAGTACAAATGTTAATACTTTTGCTGCAAATCACCCACTACTCTGGTAGAAAGCTCCTACAGAAATATGCAAATAGTTCCTTGTTCATTATTATTGTACATACAATATGAAATCACAGCTGCCAATTCTTTAGCTGACGTTGGCCTTCATTCATACCAAGTTCTTCCCAAGAATCTAGGATGTCGTAATGTATTGGCAGATCATATGTGTGAATAGTCTTTTCTAATTTACAGATGAAATTTTGGTCAATATGCAGATTTTTAAGTGTCATCTAAGTGTTTGGCATCTTAAACAATTTAAGTACAAATTTTCTAAACTAGAAAGCAAGGGCAATGGAGAATGAAGAATCAGTTTCTTACTATTATTAATTGTATCAGAGAAAGTATCTAGAAAGCAACATTCTAGCCATGCTACATACAAGGTAATCCTAATATGTGTGTTTTCCATGAGAAGAATATCTGGATACATACAAAATACTGTAGCATGAATGATAGGAACATATGGTGTCCTGGCAACAGAAACAAACTTTGAAAAATCTAATTGTGCAGCAAATGAGCATATTCTTTTAGCTAACACACACACACACACACACACAGAGAGAGAGAGAGAGAGAGAGAGAGAGAGAGAGAGAGAGATTTTTTTAAAAAGATGGCCTAGAAAGTCACTAAATATACAACTAAATAACTAAATAACACCTACACACCTAAATAGAATAAAATACAATTTGATCTTTTTGCAGTTACTGAAGATAGTACTGGACCAAAGTCATAAATCCATATGTTGTTTTAACCATTTAGTCCTATCTGACTGTTGGTGACTTTATAGGCAAGTGCTGTTCATGCCACCCTGTCAAGCATAGCTTCTTTCAATTGTTGGATGTTCAACTTTGTATCAGATTTGATGTTATCAAGCCAGCATGTTCTTTGCTTGCCCTTCTTGTTCCACTAACCATTCCTAGCATCATTGCCTTCTCCAATGAATTTGTATGCATGACATGGCCAAAGTAAATCAGACATAGTCTTATGATTTTAGCTTCTATAGCATAGCAAATGGCTTTAAGATCCTGTTGAAACAAACATTATGTAAAATACATACAATCTGAATGTGCTTATGGCTCTGAATAGCCTAATAAATACATAAATAAGTTAACTTTTCCAAGTTTGCTAGAAAAATTCATGGCAATCAAAAACTTTATCCTGGGTTCTTAACTCTTATGTAGACTGACACTGTCAAAATAAAATCGAAGCAACTGGAATTCTACTGCATGTAGGATAAATCTTAGAATTCAGATATTTTTCAATAAGGAGCTTTCTCAAGAGACATTTATAGACAAATATGTCTAAAATGACATACTCTGATTTTACAGGTGTGCATTTTTTTCACTTTACCTACACTCTCCAACATATATTTCTAATATACAACAAACCCATCTACCACTGCAACCTTTATATTCATTATTATTCCTCAAAATGTTGGTTTACAAATGGAATTTCACCATTTTAAGAAAGCAGAAAAAAGATTTGGGAATCTTTTAAAAAGATAATACATGAAACAGCTAAGATACAATTAAAAAGTCATACTATATACAGTATATGAACAAAGCTAACATAGGGGTTTTTGAAAAAGGGAACTGATTCTTGGTAATAGCAGCAAACAGGAAATACCCCTAGTGTTAAAATAAAATACTACAGGAGCAGTATCATTTATATGCAGCAAGCAGTACAGTTTAATTGCCATGACTTACAGTTAAGATATTGTATTCTACTTTATCATTTTTATCCACTATATTATAATCAAACTTAGTTGCTCCAAATTTTGTATTTCAGATTTAACATAATCCAAGTCAATACACAGAATGTTACCTAGTATATTTTCCACAAGAGTTTGTTTATTGCTGCATTCAAACATTATTGCACAATAAGTTTGAAGATTGCACTACAACAAAGACATATTTAGGATTGAAAAATAATCCGTTGTGGAAATTATACTATAAAGATAACTTGGTCTGAAAATCTATTTCATCTAGAAGAATATAAATTTTAAGAAAGATTAGGGTGACTTGATTGCTGGTACCCTGAGAAAGTAAACAAAGCAAATAAAGAAACAAGCATACTAAGAGATAACAGAAATAAGAGATAAGAAATCTGGACACACTGAGAACAGGAGAGAAGGGGGGGAGAGAAACAGAGAGAGAAATCCCAGGACAATTATTACTATAAGTTCGATAAGATACAATAGCAAAACAGCATGTACTGTGTGGAAATTTAGGCAGAATAAGCCACTTGGTATAACTATACAATACAGGGATATCTAGAATTGACATAAACAGTTTAAATAGCTATTGAACAAGATGTTATGCACACATCTCTGAGTTCTATTTAACACTGGATTTACTTTGAAAATTATACTCTCTAGAGTTAGACCAATATCTATAATTTCCAAAGAGCTCACCCCCATTTTATGTGTGTGTATACATACATATACATACACACATAGGTGCATGATGTATATACAAAAATGGTGTAACTATGTTCAGTATGGCTCACTGCACACAAAGATGTGCATAGGCTGCAACTTCTATCTATCTGATGAAGTACATTTTAGTCCATCTCAAGAAGAAAGCTTATGCCATAATAAATATAAAACTTTACAATGCACTTTTAGAAGGCTCCTTTTTGACCCAACAAACTGCCCCTCTTGAATAACTTATTAAACAACCTTCTTACTACAGTCAAGGTAATTAAAAAGGTACTCCCCAAAGAAATGCCCCTTCCTAGCTATTCAAAGTAGTTTTGTGGATTAAATGCAGCCAAACAACTCTTAGCATGCATCCATGACAGAAGTTTCTCCACAGAGGTACAAGACTGTTCTGAGGCACACAGAATTGGGTAAAGCTGAATAAGAATAACTCATGGGGAAGTAGAAGAAAGAGTTCTTAGTAGGTAGCAGGAGTACAAAGTAAAAAAACAAAAACAAAAAACAGGAGGGTGCAGTAGGAAGCAACTTGAATGCGCAAGAGGAGCTGCGTGGGACGAAGCGAAATTCGCACGATTTTTTTTTCCCCTCATACGGAGCTTGAGGAGGAGTTCAGAATAGAAAGAAGTGTGGCTTTCAGGAATGCAGGTGGGAAAAGCAGACATTTCATGCGGGCAAAAGGAGCCTTAAGCATATTTGCTTTGCTGGGGTGGGGCACTGCAGGGAAGAGGTCACCAATGGGTGAAGGGAACTACCGGAAAGGCGGGGGAAGCCTTAGCGAGGAGAGAAAATGCATGCGGTCCCGGGGGAGGGAGGGCTGCTGCGGGGAAAGGCGAGCGGGGACCAGGCGAAAAGGACGTCACTACGCCAATGGGGAACTATGGGAAAGGGGGCCGTTAGGCCGGGGAGAGGAGGAGGAGGAGGAGAGGAAACCCCTGACGCAGAGGGTCTCGGCGCTCTGTGAAGGCCTGACACGAAAGGAGGAGGAGGAGGAGGAGAGCAGCGCCTGCCGTTTCCGCAGGCGGAAAAGACGAGGCGGGGGAGGACCTCCCTTTTCTTTAATAAAAGAGAAACCCGCCTTCGTCCTCATCCCTTTTAATAGTCCGCCAAGGCCTGAAGAAGATGGACGCGGAGAGACCCGGCGGCCCCTTACCATGGTGGCGGGAGGGTGTTGAGGGCTCGCCCGCAGCTAAATCCACCGCCGAGTACCAGCCGCCTCTTCTTCTCTCGCTACTGCTGCTGTTGCTGCTGCTGCTGCTGCCGCCGCTACCGCAGCGCACGACTGTTTCCTTCCTCGCCTGCCTCGCTCTCCTTCCTGCCTGCCTGCCTGCCTTCCTGTCTCCCTCGCGGCTCTACCTCAGCCCAGTCTGCGCCTGGGCTCGCGCTCGGCTGTTATTTGGTGCAAGGCCGGAGCGGCTCGTGGCGGTTCCCGACGGTTTCACTGCTGCAGTGGCTCGCGCTGACCCGCAACCTGGAGGAGGGGGAGGGGGAAGGGGAGGGGGGAGAAAAAGAGAAGGAGGCGGAGACGAGACGAAGGAGCGAAGACGCGAACGAAGCGAGCAACAACAAAGGGGAGGTGCTCCCAACATCCGGGCAACTCCACCCCCAAAGCAGGGAACGGCGTTTACATACGCCGAAGGGGCGAGAGGGAACGTGCGCGTGATGTCACACGGGCGAGAAGAAGACTGAGGGAAAAGAAGGCGGGGGTGTAGTCGGACGGCGCAGAAAATGGAAGCGCTGCTGCAGGCGAAGCTAGAGGGTCCATTAGGCTGCCATGTGGAGAAGTCCTGCTTTCGCTGCAGCCCATTTCTGAAGCAACACAAAACATGAGGAGACAAAGGAGGCTGTAGCTCCTCAAATGGCGGGAGGATTGGGGGAGGGGGGCGGCGAGGTGTCTGCTGCCGCAGTAATACCGTAACCGGCTCAAAGACACTTCAGACGACTTCGTGCTTCTCTTAAATCCGGACTCCTGCATCCAGGAGCAAATCTTCGGGGGATCCTAGTATAACTATCCCTCTCTCGCATTTTAGTACGATGAAATATACTTGGAGAACAAGAAGACTTTCTGGCCAACCTTTAGGAGCCTGGAAAAACCTGCACGGAAAGCAAAACGTCGTTATTGCAGGAGTGATACGTGATGGCTTCGGAAGGGGGTGCCCATCGCAGTGGCAGTTAGACCATTTAATTTGAGGGTGATAGTTGTCCTTGAATTGTCTCCAGGGTCTCCATTCCACCAAGTATTTCTTTTACTTATTTATTTAGAGGTCAGCCAATTAAATCGATGTCTATTTCTGTCCAACTTGCAAAATGTTGGTGGCTAACAGTTTTTTTAAAAAAACAGTAAAATAAACAATACAAAGCCATAAAAACACAATATAATATGGCATAAACTAAGGCAAAAAAAAAAACCCAAACCCCAACATATTTGATCTTAAACCATGTAATGGATGAGATCATCCAACATCTTAATTTGATGCGTGGAGGGAACATCCACAATTTTTAAAGTCTTATGGAAAGCTTCCAAGGGTATGCTGTTTCAAAGGGCAGGAAGAGAGAAGGAGAAGGCACACTACTACACTGTCTGACTCGATTAGATGGTATTGATTCATGGAAAGGGCCTGAAGTGTGCCCTCTTTCAGATGTCATGGGATGGACAGATACAATTAGAGATTGGAGTCTTGCACTGTTCCTTAAAGGACTTTGTGGGCTCTTTAAGGAAGCACCTTGAATTGCATCCAGAGGCTAATAGGAAGCCAGGAGAGCTTGTAAAGTAGAGATGTTCAATAGCTCTATTGTGGTATGCCTATAACTACTCATGCTACTACTTTCTGGACCAACTAAAGTTTCTAGATGGTATTTAAGAGTAGTCCCATGTTGAGCACATCATAGCACTTAGAACTGCTTATGCTTGATGTTTTCTGTCTATTTTACTAATCTGGCAGGGTGGGCTTGCTCTGATTCCTCTCAGTGAAGCAGTGTTGCCTGACGGATTCTTGGAAGCATGCTTTTCGGTTATGGCATCTGCCTTGTATAACAGCTTCCCAGTGGAGATTTGGATGGTCATGACCTTCTTGGCCTTCAGGAAAGTGGTGAAGACTTGGCCTTTCCCTCAGGCATGGGGCCAGGATGTTCATAGAACTGTAAGGAAGTGGGTATTAAAATGGCACATGTCATTCAACATGAACAAGTGTAAATTGATGCCACAACCATAATATCCTTATATAACTCGATGGTGAAACCTCATCTGGGTTATTGTATGCAGGTATAATGGAGCTAAAGAAGGTTCAGAAGAGGGCAGTTAAGATGATCAAGTGGCTGGAGCAGCTTCCAAAGGAAACATTGAAACATTTGGAGATTTTTAATGTAGAAAGGAGGCAAACGAGAGGTAGCATTATTGAAGTATACAAAATTGTTAATGATATGGATAAAATGAACAAGGAAAAGCTGTTTTTCCCTCCCCAAAATAATAGAACCAGAGATTAGCCAATTAAATTAAATCTGGAAAGTATTAGGACAGAAAAAAGAAAATAATCTTTTACATAATGTCTAATTATGTAAAAAGTCCCAAACCTTTTTAGTTCCATAGACCAGCAGCGGTTTTGGCAATTTTGGTGGCAGGGGGAAATGGTTTCATGCATGTCACCTAAATCCCGTGCATGTGCAAATGAAGCTTCCCATGCTCACTTTAAATGTGCTGGTTACCAAGTTGGTTGGCTTTGAAAAAGGGATTGATGGTTGTTACCCTTGATGGAAGTGGTATTGCTTCTAAAAACCATCTGCTGAAAGACTAGTGGGCTTCCTCGTGCAGTTGGTTATCTACTGTGAGGACAGACTGCTGGATTAGACAGATGTGGGGTCTGATCTATGAGGGTTCTGCTTATGTTCTTGTATTCTTTTTTTCTTCTTTCCACTTTATAGAAATTCAAGCAATATACATAGAGTGCTTAACCGTCTAAGAATACTAAACTGATAATGTATTTCTATTTTTATTTCATTTTAACACAAACTTACTATAGAGAAATGCAACCAATTAAAAAATTGGTTGCTTTGTTGATAAGTCCTTCTTTGTTTTTTTGTTTCCTTGTTTGTTTTAATATTTAATTTAGGCTGTAGTTTGCTGTGTTCTTTTTGCCTATTGTCAGCAAGGTATTTAAAAAACAACAACGAACTAACAGCCCTTAACCTCATTACCGAATTTGAGCATTCTATTAACAACCGGTAAAACTGGGTTCTCTCGGCAAGTTCTCCTGCTACTGTTATGTGACGACCACTGTTTCATTAAATTACAGGCTAGGAAAAATTGAAAAACAGCACCAATCTTTTTAGGACTTCATATTTTTCTGAATTTTTTTTTGATAAAGCTGACAATAAAACTTCACAAAGTGCACGCAGCAAGTCCTTAACTTATAATCGTAAGGGAGCTTGCCCAGTACACTCATACATTGTTGCGGTCATGAAGCAAAGCGCCCAGGTGATTGCCTCACAACTGCTATCCCAGCTCTTCCCAGTGCAATTGCTAAGCGGTCATTAAATGACTGGAGTGAAAAAGCTGAAAGAAGGTAGGCAGCCCCCCTCTACGCGGAGAACCAGCATGCTGACTGATCTGAGCTTTCTTTCTCCAGCCCAGTTCACCAGTTTCCCTGCCTACCATGTGCTAGAATATTGAAAAGTTTTTCTAGCCCACAGAGGGGAGGAGAGCCGGTGCACTGTGCTAGAGAAACAAAACTGCGAGAACTTCATTTCTCCGATGTAGCACATCAGTTGCTCTGCCCTCTCTGGGCTAGAAAGTCATTCTAGTCCAGGGCAGGGAGGGGAGATGGCGCACAGCATCAGAGAAATCAAGCAGCTTGGGGCCTTCCCTGCCAGCTTCCCTGTTGATTTTCTGAGAAAGCTGGCAAGGAAGATTACAAATAACAATCGCATGATTGTGGAGGGCTTGGTAACCCATCATTAGTGCAAATGGGTTGCCAAGAATCTGGATTGCAATCGTGTGACCCCAGGTGTGCCGCATCGGCTGTAACTTTTGAGCACAGGTAATAAATCTATTCAGTGGCGTCATAATTTCAAACAGTGACTGGAAAAATGGTCATAAGTCAAGGACTCTGTATACACACATACGCAAATACACACATAGGTACACATGAATATATATATATACATCTACATTATTTCCCCAATCCCCTTGATGTTGTCCTTTTTACATTTTAGACCCATGGACAAAGACTGCCTTATTTTTATGGATCATTTATAAATTGCTCTGGGTACCTTTACATCTATAGATATGAAATGTATTAAATGTGAAAGAAAGGTGGAAAATTTTCTGGTCTAAGGGAGCCCTGCAAAAAATATATATCTACAGCTCATGATATATGATTTAAAAACAATCTTATTTTTTTCAGTTGTGATCTCTCATAAGATTCCTAATGACCTCAGTTAACCTTGGAACCACTGCTGAGAAAGACTGATGGAGAGTATAACACTGTGACTTAGGGCTACATTGCATGTACCAGATTCCCATTTTGTGTTTGCGGCCACACAGCTACATGGGACATAATGTGGAGAGAAAATGATATGATCCGTTTTACTTCCTTTTTATGTAGTGTGGATAGGAGGTAACTGTTGTTATATTGGGATCTGCTGTTGTTCAGGACAAGGCACTGAACATTATACTTTGCACTTTCTTATTGGCCAGCTACAAGAGCAATGATTAGATCAAGGCTGTCAAGAGACTGGGGGTTAAAAATGGTGGTGTAAAGACAGACATACCTTCATATCTACCATATAAGCCAAGGGTCCTTGGCCCATTGGGAACCAGCCCCTGCAAGTGGCAGGCGAGTGCATGAAGTTTCATTTGTGCGTGTGCAGGTTTAGGTTGCACGTGAGAAACTATACCTTTTCCTCCCTTCGCCCCAACCGCTGCCACTGCTGCTCCATGGAGCTGGAAAGATTGGGGATTGCTGATATAAGCCAAAGGAGTTCAAGGCATGAAAAAATACAGCTAAATCTACTTTGTAATGAAAAGATGTTTTCATATTTTATTTATTGTTTTATACTAATCGTGTCTCTGCCATATCTATACACTACTTTTTAAATTGTCTCTTGCTCTTTAAATTTATCATCTTTTTTTTTTACTATTTCATTACTCCCATTGAACCATGATTTTCTTGGATTTCTTTTTCCTGTTGAGTCATTGACTTCATCCAAATGCTGCATTGTCTCTCCTTCTGTTGATCTTAACAATTTGTTGTTTTCTTTGACAGCATTCCTTGCAATAGTTTGTTTTTCTATATACACATTATATATTTTATACGTCATAAAT